CAATATTTTTTGTCACTCATTTCAGAAAGTGAAACCCATATATTTTATGGATTCATTACACATAGAGTGAAATTTTTCAAGCCTTTATTTCTTGAAATGTTGATGATTATGGCTTACAGATAATGAAAACCCAAAATTCAGTGTCTCAGAAAATTTGAATATTGTGAAAAAGTTCAATATTGGAAAGTCATGGTGTCACACCCTAATCAGCTAATTAATTACCTCAAAACACCTGCAAAGGTTTCCTGAGCCTTTATATGGTCTCTCAATCTGGGTCAGTAGGCTACACAATCATGGGGAAGACTGCTGACTTGACAGCAGTCAAAATTTCATTACTAAAGAAGCTGGTTGTTCACAGAGTGCTGTATCCAAGCATATTCATAGAAAGTTGAGCGGAAGGAAAAAGTGTGGTAGGAAAAGGTGTACCAGCAAGAATTTGGGGGAGCTTCACAAAGAGTGGACTGAGGCTGGCGTCAGCGCATCAAGAGCCACTACGCACAGACGAATCCTAGACATGGGCTATAAATGTCGCATTCCTCGTGTTCAAGCCACTCCTGAACCAGAGACAACGTCAGAAGCGTCTTACCTGGGCTGTGGAAAAAAGAATTGGACTGTTGCTCAGTGGTCCAAAATTCCTCTTTTCAGAAATGGAAATCAAGGTCCCAGAGTCTGGAGGAAGAGTGGAGAGGCACAGAAACCATGTTGCTTGAAGTCCAGTGTGAAGTTTCCACAGTCAGTGATGATTTGGGCCAGGCTGATTGTCTCCATGCCAAGCTCATCAGTAGAGCTTCAACGCACGAAAACACACACAATTATGTCAAAATGCGCAGTTTTGGCGAGTTACCTTGTTAAACGTAGTCTTAAATGAGTTATAAAGTCTTAAATGACCGTAAAGAGTTGTGAGAAAATCAGATATGTGTCAGATCCACGTCAGATGCATCAGGTTTTAAAGAGACAGCGCTGATTTTACAGTGAAGCCCGCTGAAGTCTGTCACTGATGTAAACCAAAGATTTCCAAAATCCTTGGACTGTTCTAGTCGCTGATTAACCTTTATAGCTTGAATACAGATTAATATGTATAGTTTATGCATATATAATATAGTTTATGTGAAGATTGTTTTAAAATCACTTAAATTAAAAGTTGTTATATATTTCAGAGCCCATTAAATGTTAAAAAATAATGGCTTTCAATTATACTGTAATGTTGAATGGCTATAATTAATAGGGACAATTGAGGGAAAATGCACCAGCAGGACAAATTAAAAATATTGTAAATATATTTAGTCACTAGTAGTAATAACTGCCTGTTTTTGCTAAAAGAGTTTCATGGCCGGTAAATAAATGTTTTGGCCAGTAAATTTGATCATGTCACTGGCCACTGGCAGGTGTGGCAAAAAGTTAGTTTTAGGCCCTGTATGTTTATATAGCCTACATATATAAAATATACAATTATTTATGTATATATTATAAAATCTATAAATATATCATTGCATTTTATATATATATATATATAATTATTTATGTCTAATTTTTTATTTATGCATGGATTGAAAAAAAATACAAATATAATTGAATGAATACACAAATTTCATTTTAAAAGTACAGCTTTGGTTCTCAAGAAAGTTTACTGTGTGGTCTGTTTATATGTGAATTGTCTAATGAGGCATTTCTTGGTATTAATGTTTAAAAACATTATCTTTCTTTGATATGTCCTCTCAAGACTTTTACATTTTCAGACTCTGTGCTTCTTCTTCTTGAGTGTTTGTGTGTAAGTCAGACCAGAGTTTTTGTTTGTTTCCTCGTTGAAACTCAAATTGGCCGCTTCTAAAGCTCAGCCCTTTTTTCTGAAGGCCTCATACCCTTTCTTTGTACTTCATAATATCCCCATCAAAGTGTGTATCGAGTCAACCTGAAAGTCTCATTATGACTGCATATGCTACTTTTTGGCCTCCCTTTCCCTGTCGGTTTCACTTTGTTTTATAGGTCAGGCCGAAACTGGCCTTTCAGCACTGACATAACTTTTTCTTCTCGCAGTTAAATGTTAACCTTACACAAGACACACAAATGCTCACGTATCTGTATTGAACGTCAACCACTTGCAGGACTTCTCGGGAGCTTTAACAGAACAACAGAACAGGGTGTGGAGTGTACTAAGAGATTACAGTCTCTGTGTGGATGACTGAGTGCTTAAGTGTGTGAGTGTGTGCATTATGCAATTTTGCAGTGCATGTCATAATTGCATGCGTGCGTGACGGTCCAGCTGAGCCTCGATGCATAAACTGATCATCTCCATAGTGTGTGCAGTTACACACACAGACATCTGCATTCGCTGAAACCACACATTTATTCAAACATGGCTCAAAGGAGGCCACCCACAATTATACAAACACATTAAAACTGAATTTGCAATGCAGAAACCTATGTCTGCTACACTCTGTGGCAGTGCATTTTAATTCCTCATTTAGACTAATTTACTCTCAAGCCTTCCTGTTTGGTTGCAGTCAGTGATGGCAACAGGCATAATGAGCTCATCACATGGCTTGGTCATTGGTCTGGAGACCCCTGCAGCTGGACCAATCACACAGGTGGATTTGACGGAAGGCGGGCTCAAGACCAGGTGGAGACCCCTGCAGCTGGACCAATCACACAGGTGGATTTGATGGAAGGCGGGCTCAAGACCGATTGGCTGGATTCATGAAGGTATAGAAAGTGTAAAATGAAACAGGAGTTTCTGAAGTCCTTGTGTCTGGTTTACTTTTTTGAATGCTAAAATACCTGACACGTACTCAGACTTGGACATGAGTTTTCTTCCTGTTTATTATGGAAATCAATGTCATATTCCCGGTTGGAAAAACGCACGGCTACCAGTTTTAGTGGGATTTACCGACAGGGCTGATATTAACGTAAATAATAAACAGGAAGGAAACTCATTTCCGAGTCTTAAGTATTTTTTATTTTTTCCCCCAAGTCTAAGTATGCTTGTGCTATTTTAGCTTTCGATGTAAATACATATAAAGATAAAAAATAAATAAAAAAAGCAGAAAACATTTTATTAATTAGTCCTCACAAGTGATTTTTTTCACTTCTTCTAAATCTTCAAGACATTTTTTTTTTTAAAGATATATATACTTTCATCTAACCAACAACTAGGCTTCTTTTGTTGGATTGGTATGCAGTCTTAAAATTCATGAATGCCCTGTTTATTTATTTTGTTAACATTACTGCCATGCTATTTTTGTTTGATTAATTTATATTTTCACATTTGCAATAATGCTTCGGTCAAGCTGGCTTACTCGAATATTTTGAAATCGCAAATTATTAATATTCTCGATTTTGCCCACCTACTCCCTTCGGCTGCCCCTCCCGTTGAATCCCATTGGCTGATGGCTCTGGGATCGACCAGCTGTTTCTTGTTTTCCCATAGCGCAATTGGCCCGAGCGACCTGTCAATCAACTGGATTTTGACAGATGACTCCGCCCTCATCACCGCTACCCGAGCGCTGATAGGCTACTGTATCCTTTTGTGAACGCTGATTGGCTGAGGGCGCTGGTTGTCAAGGCTTAGTGCTTCATTCACCATTTTGCGACTGTAGAGTACCCTGGAACCTCAACGGCTGGACTTTTTCTCATTTGCGGAAGAAAAACACTCTTTGCAAAAGCTTTCTCGGGGATTCCGTGGTTTTCTAGGCTTGGCTTTCGCATCGACACCATTTCGACGGCGCTGTAAATATTCACGGGGTGAGTAGAAAGCTTTTATCTGCAGTGCTCTGCCTAACGTTATATATTTAATGCTGTGTTTTGCCTTTACGTCGCGGATCCATCTATAACGTTTCGCTGTCAGTTGTTTCTTTTTTCTTACTGGATTGTGTAAAATGGCGGAGTAAGCTTTTTTATCATACACACACATTGAAAGGGAGGGGTGGAGGTGCACAGACAGGCTAAAAACTTTTTTTCCTGAAAATATTTGTGAGACACAACAGCTACAGCTTCAACAAACTGCTTTCGTGTATTCCTTTACCTTTCAGAGACTGTCACTGCTTATATCCATAGCGTTTTACATAAAGATAAGGCGATTGTTTTGTTAGCTAAACTTGACTATATTATGATCATATACTTTCAGTTGCATTGAGTACATTTCATTCGGATGTTTTCATATTTATAGCCTAAAGGCGCATGTATTTGAGAAGGATTGCCCCCCCCCCCACCTCCTCCTCTTCCTCATCCTCATCCTCATATTTATTAATATTATGGGCAACGTCGCCTTCGATTCAGGAGCCTTAGGGAGACGAGAAACTGCTCTGCGGCCTTGTGTTATGGAGGAGGCCTACACCACTCGACTGTGTCGTAGGTGGTTGCAAGCGTAGAGTAGGGCACTACGACCAATAAAAGCGCTTGACACAGATACGCCGGTGTACTACTCAGCAAAACTTTCGCAAGTCGACGACAGCAGCACCATTGTTGATGGCAAACAGGGCTTTTACTTTGTTTCAGGGCAGTTGTGTTTATTTGGAGACTTGCTGTTGCATGAGAACATTTATTATTGTGCATCTGGCGAGTCATTATGAGATTGAGTTGTTATAATTATTTGAAGGGTCAGTGAGTGCAGTGGGCAGCCCTATGAAGCTAAATGGCTATTTAGTGCATTGCAAATAAGATTGATTTTTTTGTGCCAGTTCAAAACGTTTTACACAGAAATATACACATATATTTTTTAATTTCATAATTTTTTTTGCAGACGTTTCATCCAAATTGACTTGTGTCGCATTAGTATACATTTTACCAGTTCGTACATTTGTCTGGGAATCAACCCCATAACCTTGACGTTGCTCGTGTCGTGCTCTACGGTTTGAGTTTCAAAGTCATTAAAGATATACATTTTCTATAGGAAGCGGGTCGCCACCTTATGGGCGTTGCCATGTTGACATCACGTGACAGTGTGTCATACAGAGTTGACAGTTACTACTACTTATAATGACATTATAAAACATTTAAACGTTGTGTTAACTTAATACAGTGTTTGTAAAATATTGAATATGTTTATTTTATATATGGCACTTTAGAAAGCACATAGCGATGGTGTGTATGAGCATGGAATCCATAGGATGCACTGAGTAAAAAAAAGTGATGTCGGTATAAAATCCAAAACAGTGGTAGTATTCGGATAAAAACTGAGTGCCCTTTTAAATAGAATAGAACCTTTCATTATTTACACTTTGTGTTATCTTATATGCATTGGAATAGTTTAGTGACCCCAAAATTTTACTCCCCTACACGACAAAGCAATAAAAGTCTTAGTAAACTGTTTTATGATATAATTTTCTTACTGGAGGTAATATACTGCATATCTTAGATTTGCATATTGCCTGCAAACTTGTCTTACAGTGCAAATGGCAGTGTGGTTACTGTGGTTTCTGCTCACAAGTATGGGACAGTTTTGCATTGCGGACCTAAAATGGTCTGTTACGTCTTCGTCAATTCTAGCATGCATTGGCTTATCAAAAGAGGTCATTCATGTTCTGAACTTTAACCATAATATATTACCCAGATGGCACACGTACATCTGCAAGATGTCTGTTAAAGATCGCTTCATCTGGAAAGCATCTGCTGTGTGTACAAACATCTGATAGACGTCTTTAAGATGTCAGTTTTACATACATTCTAAATCATAAACATCTTAAAGACATCTTCTAAACGTCTATTTGATGTCTGATATGAAACGTCCTACAGATGTATTGCAGATGAGCAAACACTCTAAAAAATACATCTTGCCGATATAACTGCAGACGTCAAATAGACGTCTCCATGTTGTACGTGTGCTATCAGGGTAGATGCACATCCGTAATTAAATGAAAACCAGTCAGTCATATTTTATATTCATAAAACCTGCATGCAGTTTTTGAGATGTTCAAAGCTTAAATTAATTGTAGTTTGACTACACTGAATTATTTGTAATATGTAGGGTTAGGGCTGCACGATTAATCGATTGCGATTGTCATACGCATTTTGTTAGTAATGCCGGTTCTGTAATCAGCAGTAAATCATCATCACGTGCTTTCAGATGAGCAGCATTTACTACACAGAGCCATAGTTCACTGACAAGTCACGCAAAAAATCGCGATAATGACAGCTGTTTGCATAGCTTGTCAGTGAACTATGGCTCTGTGTAGTAAATGCTGCTCCATCTGAAAACATGTGAAAATACCACATTTAATAACATATTTTTTAACTTCATAACGTCAGTCGAGTGTTTGAAATAAATCCTTCTGTGAGATGATGTGGCTTCTCACACAGAATAAGGCATGCAACATATTTCATAGTATTCTAAGCAGTGATAAAGGCATTGCATTATAAATATACATTATTTAAATGAAAATTATAATAATAATAACTCCGATAAACCATATATAGTCATAATCGTGTGTTTATTAGTCACGTTGAATCAATAAAAGCAGTTTATCCAGCTACCGCTATAGGCATTTCCTGGGTTTCTTCTGTGAGGCGTATTTGGAGTTTCAGCGCGAGAGCGCCCTCTGGCCTTTGGATGGAGATTTACTGCTGATCACAGAACCGTGCTTCACTGAAAGATATGCATGACAATCGCAGCTTCTGTCGAATATTTCAGACTATCGCGAAATCGATTTATCATGCAGCCCTATGTAGGGTGTATATAAACTGGTTTGTAGCAAGTGTATCCAAGTGTCTAAATATATTTATGCAAACATTAATGTTGATAACATATCTGTGGGTTTTAAATGGGCTTTAAACACAATCCACACTGTAAGAAGTTTGGATGGTGAAGAAAAGGGTGTTTTGGTAGGAGGAAAGAATGTGTAAGTAGTAATGTGTAAGGATAGTATTGTACATTGAGATGTTGTAGTGCTGTGACAGGAAGTGAGGACTGTAGGGGTGGATTGCCTCTGTAACGAATGCAAAAAGGTCATTTGAAAGAGCGAGCGAGAGAGAGCCTTAGAGTCACAGAAATACCACTGAACAAGGAATTCCCCCGCCTCCTCTGATCCAGCCAAAAAAACAAAGTGAGTGTGTGACTTGTCTGGGCAAGCATTTTTCTTTGTGTTCTGTCGTTTTCAATTTTTCTGTGTTAAGTTGTGTTATATCCATTATATCCTTTTTAGGGATATGTTACATATTTTCAGACTTATGAAGATGTTTTGATGAGATTAGGCACTAAACTTACAACTTTATTTTGTGCACTAACTTGTTTTTTTTTATTGTATATGCTGTATTCCATACTCCCTTCTCTATATGAGAATTGTAGTGCTGTATAAGAGACTGATCCACCTCATGTGCTGTGTTTCATTGCAGGCTCTAATTTAAGAAGGAAAGGACAGCGCAAACAGGAAGAGGCTTGGACAGGAACAGAAGAAAAAGACAGAGAAGGGGCGGGATGCAAGAGGGAAACAGAGTGGAAGATATTGATAGGCTGGGACTCGCAGGAAATCAGGAGGATTAGAGACTCTCTTAGAGCAAGAAAAGATGAAGCCCATTAAAAAGCAAGAAAGGCGGTCGCCCCCATCCACTCGCGCTAAAGGAGTTAAGAGGAGGACAGCGGATAGTAGCCCACAGGAAGAGAAGAGAGAAACCGAGGAAAAATCCCAAATTTCACCTACATATCCCAAGAGACATTTCTCCTCAAATTCTGACTCATCACAGGAAGGGCCACTGAGAAGAAGCGGGTCTCCGGAAAAGGAGGGCGTCCTCAGTATAGCAGTGGATTTCGGGAAAACGGAGGAATGCCCCGGGAGCTCCATGTCTGGTGGAATACAGAGTGACAGCAACAGTAGCACAACCAGTGCCAGCAATAGCCCCAACCCTTTGTCTAGTCGTAAAACTGCCACTTTTAAAGCCCGTGTGCCCAAGAAGAAGTACACTTCGGAGCACTATGCCGGAAACCATGGCAACTCCAGCACTCCCAGCACACCCCCACAGAGCAGCAGCGGCTCTCATAACGGAAGTGGTGCTAGCCAGGGCCCAGCTGCCTCTGCTGCACACACGGACCTACAAGGTCAAAGCCAGCTGGCTGAGGACAGCATTACTGGGTACAGACACAACAATGTAACTGGGCCTACAGGTAGAACTGCAGGTGAGTGTGGAGGGAGGGATGGGACGAGTGCATCTAGCCCACAGCGTTGCTCCTCAACTGATACAGCCAGCGAACACTCAGCCGACCTAGAAGTGACAGCTTCAAGACATGATTCTCACTCCAACTCCCAAAAGCCACAAGCACATAACACTTCAGCATCCTCACAGGAGAGCCTGTCATCTGGTTTAGCTGGAGTCCTCGCCAAAGGTCTCAAAAATCAGAGAGTTCTGGCCCGACAGGGTCCCAGATTAGGGGAAGGCTGGCCTCACGATCGGGGCCGGGAAATGTCTGGAGTGTTTCGCACTGGAGTTGTGCGGAGAGTTAGCGAGGAGCATGGGATTGTGGAGGTGCAGCTGAATGGAGAAAAGACCATATGCAAGTACCCATTTAGAGTGGCTACTGATTCTGTTGACCTTATTCTAGATGCGTCACCTCCTGGTGTGGCCCCGGTGGCTATAGGCACACGAGTCTGCGTCCCCTTTGGAGGAGGTGACGAGGGCAGTGAGGGAGCGCAACAGTGGTACAGAGAAGGTATAGTCACTCAAGTAGATCCACACCCAGCTGTGTCTTTCCCATATCGTGTTCAACTACGGGAAGATTTATCTGATGAGAGGAGAGGTGTAGAGGACGATGGAAGGGCTCAGGCCATTTGGGTCTCACAACAAAATCTCCGCCTCCTGGTTCCTCCTTGGGACCTAGAGCCACCCCAGCCAGCAGAGTCTGGGATTGATGGTAGGAGGGTACGAGAACGAGAGTGGGAGGAAAGAGAGGACATGGAAGTGGAGCAGGAGGTGGTTCAACTGACTAGACCAACATTTGTTCAGAGCTTGTTGCATCCTGTGACTGTACCTTTCACCTCACCCCATTCTTCGTCTTCTGCCGTTAACCCTGCCATCACATCTGTACTCAGTGTAGCCCCAAACAGAGACTGGGAACACCACAGAGGGAAAGACCAGGAAAGAGAGTTGCATAGGCACTTAGAGAGAGAAAGGGAACGAGATAGGGAGAGGGAGAGGCAAAAGCATCATCTTCTTCATTCATCCACCCCAGATGGGGTAGACTTGGAAGTCAGTTGTCTTAGCCAGCTAAGGGATGGTGGCATTACTGCCATGGGAAGCAAAGCTCTGGGGGCTCCTTCTCAGCATCGGCCCATTCTTTCTAAACCAAACTACCTCAGCCCTCACCTTTCTGTGGTGAGAGGGCTCAGCACGGCGATTGCACCCCATCTGCCCCTTGCTCCTCACCCAAATCACCCCCCTATGCTCCTGGGCCTGGATTCAGCCACAGGTGCGGCAGTCATCTCCTCCACATCCCAGCTTCCTCCCATGCCCCGAAGCTCTTCTCAAGGCTCCCTGGACAAGACCCCTAGCTCCAACTCACATGGTGCGTCAGGGGGTGGCAATGGATCCTCGTCCTCTTCGTCACGTTCCCGCACACCCCTCACAGCCGCTCAACAGAAGTACAAGAAGGGCGATGTGGTGTGCACCCCTACAGGCATCCGCAAAAAGTTCAATGGCAAGCAGTGGCGCAGACTGTGCTCACGTGAAGGCTGCTCGAAGGAGTCGCAGAGGCGCGGCTACTGCTCGCGGCATCTGTCCATGCGCACCAAAGAGATGGAAGCCGGAGGCGGGGTTGGCCGAGACAGGAGTGGTGCCAGTAGCACGGGCACTCTCACACCTGACCTTCGTTTAGGTGGACGCACCAGCAGCGAGTATGACTGGGATGACAACTCACGAGACAGCAGTGAAGCAAGCAGCCGTGGCGGGGACTCGCGACCACGTCTGGTGATGACTTCTCTTATACCACATGAACTGCCACGTGACATGTCCCGCTTTGACTTTGATGAGTGCGAGGCTGCAAATATGCTGGTCTCACTTGGCAGCTCACGCTCATGCACGCCCTCATTCTCACCTGTATCCAATCAGTCACCATTCTCACCTGCGCCGTCCCCCTCACCCACACTATTTGGCTTCCGCCCAGCTAATTTCAGCCCCATCACAGCACCTCTGACCCCTCGCCGCCCTCGCCATCTCAGTGGCACGAAAATTCCTGGCACTCCCAGCACAGAACGTGAGCGCCACATCTCTGGCATCATGCCAACTTTTCAGACCAACCTGACATTCACTGTACCCATGAGTCCCAGTAAACGTAAGCTGGATGCCCCACTACCCCCGCTGCCCAGTGCATCAGACTATGTGAAATCTGATCCTCAGCTAAATGACCCCAGCCTCAGCCTCAACGCAGTAGCATTCAGGGTTCTGTCCCCCCAAAGCCAGCCTACCACCCCCTCATCTCTCTCATTCCCTCGACAGAGGAGCGTCACAAGTCGACCCTCATCCTCTGCCGCTTCCACTCCACCCCCTATGCTGGTTTCTCCCACACCACCCTCACCCCTGCCACAGGATCCCAGCTCACGTCGTATTGTTCCCCTACGCGATTCACCTGTCATTGTTCGTAACCCCGATGTACCACTGGCAAAATTCAGCGATGGTCCCCTGAGCCGTAGAGGAAGCTCACGCTCTAGGGAGCACAGCCAGCCCCCTCACCATGCCATGGGCCTCCAGGCCCCTGTGCCCATCAATGGCGCCGCCACCAACGGAGCAGTTCTCCTTCGCAATCCTGCTCCCACCTTAGTCCTGGTGACTTCCTCTCAGTCATTGACACCTGTGGCTCCTGGACATCCCGCCCATTCAAACTCTGCCACTTTGAATGTGTCCACTTCTAATGCAACCATTGGACCTGCCCTTGCACTATGTGGCTCAAGAGGGAAAGAGCAAGAGAGGAAGTCAGGTAGGCCTGCAGATGCGGGTGGTGCTCTCCCACAGCCTGTGGCTTGCCATCCTTCACCCACTGCTCTGTTGCCCCTCATCCTGCCAGCCGAGTCCCCTCACCCTGCTCCTCGCAAAGACATCATCATGGGACGACCTGGCACTGGTAAGAGACATGAAAGATAAATAAAACCAATTACAACACTTACATTTGTAAATTATTGATTACCATAGCCACTCACAGTCTAAAGTATGTAAAGAAATTAAAAAAATGTGAGCATGCCAACTTTTTATTATTTGTACTCTACGATTCAAAAGTTTAGGGCATAATAGGGTATAATTAGTATGATTTATAAAAAAAAAAAAAATAATAATATTTTTATTGATCAAGGATGCATTAAATGAATCATTATCTCTGAAAAAGATTCTCACGTTTCAGAGTAAATCTCAAAATGTCACAAGTTATGCTTTGATTTCCCAAGGTAACAAAGTCAATTTGAATATTTAATTATTAAAAATGTAGTACCAAATTCTTCCACTGCCAAATTATGTAGGCAGTTCTATTCACATAAATTTTATTCAAATTAATTAATTTGTTATAGTTCGTTTTTACGAAAGAGAAAATATATATTTTTTTCTGGATTAGTTTGTGCTGGCCAGAATATGTTGTTGACAAACTGCAAAAATAAGGGGGGCTCAGAGTGACTTTGGTATGCTGGTCAGCAGCAGGTGTGTTTGGGTGTGTGTAGTGAAGAATGCACTGTGCTTTCAGGGTCAGTGTTTCTTTAGACAGTTGCAGCATGTCTGAAATGATACACAGGAACTTGCCCAGACATGCACGGCTAGAGGGTGATTGGACCGCCCTGATTCTAATGAGTACTTAATCTGAGATTCACAGTTCACTGGAATGACAGATGCCTAGGACAGTTACACACTTTCTTTGTTTTTACCAATCACCAATATACAGATATACAGTATGTATATGAATGGCTTTCATTCAGGTTCAGTCTGACACAGAAAGGTGCTTTTTCACCAGTTCCCTCTTAAGAGAATAGAGAGGCTGTAGGTTTTGCGAAACAGTTGTGTGTATATATAAAAGGTTTGTCTGTTTCTTCATTTAGTTTGGACCAACGTGGAGCCCCGCTCTGTGCCAGTGTTTGCGTGGCATTCGTTGGTTCCTTTTCTGGAGACCAACCAAACAAAAATGTGCATGCAGCCTGCAGATGGCCAGACACTTGTAAATCAGGGCAAAGGTAACATTTGGTAGAAAAAAACTAAACACTATAATTTGACGTTGCAACATTTTCCTGTATAAAACTGCATAGAATACACACAAAATCACATTCAGAATATATGTTTTCAGCTGATGTTTTGAAACTGAATAAACTTGCAGAACCTCGCTGTGGAGTTGCCCTTGTGACTGAGGGACCTACTGACCATCCAGCACCACAGAGAGGTTCCCCGTCTTGCCCCCCTCCTACTGCTGAAGACCCACCTGTGGAGAGAGGAGGAGGTGACAGTGAGACCGAGAGTGATGCTGATGATCTGTAAATATCTGTTTGCATCTCACCTCTTGACAATAAAAGCAAACATTAAGATTACAATATTTTCAAAAAATTGGTTCATAATGAAATATAATTTACACATATTATGAGAAAAATGTTTTATTAAAAAGTTTTTTACTTTTTTCTGGTTACTGTTTTTGATGCAATTCTCTCTTCTTCCTTTTTTTTTTTTTTTTTTTTTTTTTATTATTTTTTTTTTTTTTTTTTTTTTTTTTTTTTCAACCTTCCTTGGGTTTTTGGGGGCCTTAACATATTAACATATGGAGACCAACCAAACAAAAATGTGCATGCAGCCTGCAGATGGCCAGACACTTGTAAATCAGGGCAAAGGTAACATTTGGTAGAAAAAAACTAAACACTATAATTTGACGTTGCAACATTTTCCTGTATAAAACTGCATAGAATACACACAAAATCACATTCAGAATATATGTTTTCAGCTGATGTTTTGAAACTGAATAAACTTGCAGAACCTCGCTGTGGAGTTGCCCTTGTGACTGAGGGACCTACTGACCATCCAGCACCACAGAGAGGTTCCCCGTCTTGCCCCCCTCCTACTGCTGAAGACCCACCTGTGGAGAGAGGAGGAGGTGACAGTGAGACCGAGAGTGATGCTGATGATCTGTAAATATCTGTTTGCATCTCACCTCTTGACAATAAAAGCAAACATTAAGATTACAATATTTTCAAAAAATTGGTTCATAATGAAATATAATTTACACATATTATGAGAAAAATGTTTTATTAAAAAGTTTTTTACTTTTTTCTGGTTACTGTTTTTGATGCAATTCTCTCTTCTTCCTTTTTTTTTTTTTTTTTTTTATTTAATAATTTTTTATTTTATTTTTTTTTAGTTTTTTTCCAGCTCAAGATACTGCTCCATCCATCAGCCCAGTGAAAAGGCGCACACAATCTCTCAGTGCACTCCCAAAAGAAGGTGACAAGAAGGTACATTTCAGTTTCCTAGTCAGCTGCGATAGTGAAATACAGCAAGAAATTTTGTCAGTTGCTTGGTTTCCTTTGAGTAGCACCGGACAGTCCCGCGCACTCGCTTTTAGTGAGAGCAGAAAAATTACCCTGGAAACTTGTCAAAGGTTTCAGGCTACAATCATTAAGCATTGCAATCATTAATTTCCCTTATTATCTTTTGTTAAAAGTGCTATAAAAATGTACACTCATAATTTCTCCTCTCTCTCAAACCACAAAGAGGGAAAAGGACCACATCAGGCGGCCAATGAACGCATTTATGATCTTTAGTAAGCGGCACCGTGCCCTGGTTCACCAGCGGCACCCCAACCAGGACAACCGTACTGTCAGTAAAATACTGGGTGAGTGGTGGTACGCGCTGGGACCCAAAGAGAAGCAGAAGTATCATGATCTTGCCTTCCAGGTACAGTCCTTCTTGTGAAATATTATGAAATACTGCATAAGAGGAAGATGTCATACCAATCTGTTGTCTTTCCTTTGAAATTAAGACATAACGTGAAGTTAAAACGTGGTTTTGCATTTGAATTAGTGATAGACTGATATCAGTTTTACAGTGGTCGATATACAGTATGTACTGTAGATGCAAATATCTGGAAAGCAGGGTGGTTGATGGCCAATTTAATGCCAATATGCACTACTATTCAAATTTTTTTAAAAATGTTTTTAAAACATTACATTCGTGCTCTCTTATGTTAATCAAGGTTGCATTTGTTTGATCAAAAATACACAAAAACAGTAATATTGTGAAATATTATTACAATTGAAACAACTGTTTTCTATTTGGATGTATTTTAAACTATAATTTATTCCTGTGATGCAAAGCTGAATTTTCAGCATCATTACTCCAGCCTTTAGTGTCACACGATCCTTCAGAAATCATTCTAATATGCTGATTTGGTGCTCAACAAATATTTCTTATTATTATCAATGTTAAAAAACTGTTATGCTGCTTAATAATTTTGTGTCAACAATAGGCGCGTTTCCATTACAGATTTGCGCAAAACTTTGGCGATATTTTATAAATGTAGATTAAAAAAAAGTGAAATGACGGCGTTTCCATTAACCAATGTTATGCGACTAAAACGTAACCTTTTGCCTCTCGCGATAAGTCATGGCAACGGATTTTGGCTATATTTATTCGAAGGAGGCATATGCGTGTATCTTTACAGAAGCAGCACAGAGAGCCGCTTCAGAAACGTGCGTGGCACGGCTGGAATAATCACAAGCATTGACTAGAGTGGCTGCAATCAGCTTCAGTGGCTGTATCAGAATCACACTGCACCGCAGACGTGTGCAGTGTAAATGATCTAAGCATTAATGGTAGGGAAAACCCCTTATACTGGAGAGCGGCCACGTATTAAGTGTTTCTTGGAGGTTATAGTACATTGAAGAATGATCATGTGACTTTTTACATACGCCATGTGACCTGTAAATGCGAAAAAGCTGTTTCCATTGCAGTTTTGTGAATTAATCCTTTTTACGCATTGCCTGAAAAACCACCTCATGCGAGTTTAAAAACTTTTTTGCGATATATGGGCGTTTTTGCGAAATTGACGCATTTCCATTAGGCGTATTTTCAATTCGCAATTTCAATTTGTGCAATCTGAAGGGTAATGGAAACGCGCCTAGCGATACATTTTTAGTCAGTTCAGAAGAACAGCATTTATTTGAAATAGAAATCTAGCTAAATAAATCACTTACTGTCATTTTGGATGAATTTAATGCATAATGAATAAAGTTTTGCTAAATATATAAATTTCTTTAAAAAAAATATCTGACCACAAACTTTTAAACGGTAATATAATGTAGTGAAGTGTAATCTAAATTAATCATTCATAATTTAATAATACGACATAGTGATTATCATTGATTATTTAAATTATCATAGATTAAAAAATGTGCAATTACATTCATGTAAAAATATTAGAAAGCAAAATATGTGCGTGATCCAAGTGTTGCACAGTTATTATTTATTAAGCCTGTTACTTTATTAGTAACTTAGAAGTTTATTCTTGTCTTACTCTTGTTGTCTTTTAGGTGAAGGAGGCTCATTTCCGGGCTCACCCTGATTGGAAATGGTGTAACAAGGACAGAAGGAAGTCCCTGTCTGAGGGCCGGGGAACTCCAGGGGCCAAAGAAGCTCACGAGCATAGCGTGTCTGAAAGCACAGGTCCGTGTGGGAGTTTGTTTATATGCGTGGGCGTTTGTCGATCTTGTGAAACTATGAGTGCATAGTAGTGTGAAACACAACTGATGTTGAATTAACCTTCTTTGTCTCCTCAGAGGCCCATTCCACATCTCAGGGGGCCGTCCACAAAGGAGCAGGGCCCAGCTGGACTTCACCTCGGTCTGACGGTCACGGAGGATCAATGGGAGGGCAGCTTCAACGGCCTCGCGCCTTTTCCCAGAGTGCTGTGCATCTGGAGAGCAGGGAGAAGGAGAGAGCACTGGAAAGTGCGGGACTGTTTCATCCCCGTCGCCCTGCTCACCCTCGACGACCGAGTGAGGATGTGACCAGTGATGAAGAGCCTATGGTGATCTGTGAAGAGGGGGATGATGATGTCTTAGGTAAATTACGTGCATCAGCAGCAAAAGTAAGCTATTTTCTGTGAATGTGCGACTTTTGATTGAAATAACTGGAGGAATAACAAAGTGCAGTAAATGGTAAAACTATTTGCACTACAAACCAATTTGTTTATAATACATTAAAATACAGGTTCGCAATATCAAGCCGCTGTTTTGTACAGCTACAAATAACTAGAAGTGAATGACATGGAAATTCTTGCACATTCAAGTAACAAATTGCTGTATGTTTAAAATAAGATGGATACATCTTTGTCAATATGATACCTAGCAGCAATCCATATCACCCTAGCAACCACCTGCAATGCCCTAGCAATAGGGGTGTAACGATTCACTCGTTTTCTCGATGCATCGATTACAAACCCTGATGATGCAATGCATCGATTTTGAAACATGGATTTTTGAATCGTGAATCGTCGATTTCGGACAGTAATCGATTTAAAACGCTAAGAATCGAATGAATCGCGATTTCTATAGCGATTCAATGCTTTCAAAATACATACACATTAAATTACTACAAGCAGGAATTAAAAATCAATTAAACCTTGAACAGTGTTCGTGCCTTCGCATCTCTCCTTCACGCGCTCCACTATTTACCTCCGGAGACTGTCACAGGATTGCGCTCGCGCTCCGTTCGTCTCACGGACACATTTTTTGAGCAGCTGATGTGTGAGCTCTCCTAAGTACTCGTGGCCAGTAATGCTAAAGTGAAGTAGTTTTGCTTTTCTGTAGTTTTTCAATGGCTCTCGCCTCTCGGTCATACCGACGACATTACCTGAGCACTGTCGAAGGCTGCGCATTTATTGCATAGACGGAGCAAAAATGTAAGTGTCTAAAGCATATACGCCCAGTTCCATTGAATGATAAATGTGTTTTAACAATGTCGTTGAACCGAATGTACGAAGAAAACTGTTAAAATAACCACAGCATTAACAACAACCTTGAAATAAGAGCGCAAGTTTATCTGATAATCAGATGCATGAAAGTAGCGTTCGTTGCTATAGCAAACAGACATCGGGCGCGTTTTCTTTCAGGATCGTCATTCGCCGATGGAGAGGAAAAGTTAAATACTATAGCATTTTATTTTATGAAAATGAGATAAAGAAGTTTTCGCACTGAAAGAGAAGTGATCTCGTACTCATAGATGTGCCAGGCTATATCTGCAGCTAATCTGAATAAAAAGCGAAATCACCTGAAACGTTAAGACAATAAACACAATAAATTAATACAATTTATGAATGATGCAGTGCTAATTGACATATAATTTATTACAGTAAGGAAACTATAAAGTATATGTTCTACCTAATTCTTTGCAGAAAATTGAAATATTTTTTGTAGTATATAAAACAATCATAAAATTGCCATTAGGAAAAAATTATAGATTACAAATGATTGATTATTGTCCACCAGTGTATTTGATTTCTTATAGCAAATTCAAAGTAAGAAGATAAGAAAATAATTCCTTGTAAAAAAAAAAAAAATTATAATAATAATACATACATACTGTACATAAAATTATTGTATTTGACATTTCTATCACTTCTGAAATGATGGCTACGCCCCTGGCGTGACAAAATGTTAGCCTATACATAATACTTTTGAAGCTCTTTTTAAAAATCGTGACTTACATCATTTTTTACATACGCCATGTCATGCCATAGCATCATTAAACTAGCATCTAACAATGGACAAAAGTGTTTTTTCTCTAACCCATGGTTCTCTAATCATAAAGGCTGCTGTGTAATTTGCCCCCAGACTAAGAATTTAAAGAATTTAGGGGAAACATTTAAATAATCCTGTGAATGCACTTAAAGAATGCAGAATCGAATCGAACCGAAACGAATTGAATCGAATCGAATCATTCTGAATCATTCTTGAATCTAATCGAAAACCTGTGAATCGTGAATCGAATCGATTCGCTGTCTACCCAAAGATTCACAGCCCTACCTAGCAACCATCCAGAACTCCTTAGCATCATTGTGGCATATTTTGCATATGCAAGCACCACTCATAGTTTCTTCAGAAATGTTTAACTTTTTAACTAATGATCTGTCAAGCATTAAATATTGTATTAATGTTAGTTAATGTAAGTAAAGTGTTGCCACGAGAAAATCTGTTGGAAACCTAGGGTCCTATACAAAAAAAAAAAAAATCCATGTTTTCCGTTCTAATTTTTCTGGATTCAGATTTTTTTTTAAATATGGATTCTATGGATAAAAATTGATAATTTTTTTTCAATAGAGTCCTATAAAATGTGTTTTATTTTTCCCAAATTCTGTTTTCCTTTTTTTAATTTTCCTGGATTATGTTTTTAATGATTTAATTACATTTTAATAATCAAAAAGGATACCTAATCGATTGAATTCATAACGATTTTACAACTTAATAGTTGAGCAGTTTAATGTTTCTGGATTCTGTGTTTTACAAATGTATTATCAAAAACACTGGTAGTCAAATGAACATGTAAAACTAACAATTTAATGAATTTTGAAATTTGAACCGTTCCTTTCATTTTGTTGGCAAAAGAATTGCCGCACAAAAGAGGTTGAATGTCCTCCTATAGTATGACGGCAGATGCTGAAAACACAAGCGTCACACATGCTTGAGTGTGGTAGATGAAACTGCACCACTCATTTACGCAGACACGCAGAACATGCAGACTTCATATTTAAATAGCGGTCTTTTTGTGGTTTAATATTCACAGACACTAGTTCATATCGAGATTTTTGTACAGCCCTACTTTTGATTTATTGATCCAAATTTAATCAAATTCTGTGACATTATATGGTAAATTTTTATTTTTATGACTGGATTCTGTGATTCCATTTGTGTTTCCTGCATTGTAGGCAACACGAGACCCCAAAACCCCCTGATCTGTAGATAATGCTGTTATACGTGGAACGTACCCACCATCAGAAAATGATTATCTTTCAGCGATTCGGTTTTGATGTTGCAAGTGTTTTGTGTTCCATTCTCATTTTCTCATTATTAGTCAGTCCTGACTGATTCTTGAGCCTGTGTCTCCCACGAGCTCTGTGCTCTCTGATGCACCACCACCATCCAAACATCATTAATTCATTTTGGAAAGGCAAAATCTCCTCACTGCTCAGAGCTCTCAGTCCCATGAGTGTGAGATTTGCAAGCCCTGGTCTCACAGCTAACGTGTGATTCCTCCACAGAGGACTCGTTAGCAGACGGCTCCATTGACTTGAAGTGTAAAGAGAGAGTGACAGACAGCGATGATGAAAACGAGCATGCAGATGAAGCTGACAGCAAGGTAACACTTAATACATCACATGGGTAGTTGGCATGACATGTCATGCAATGTGTCCCACAGTGCATCAGTTGTTGTTCAGTTATTGATTTAAGAAAAAAAAAAAGAATAAACATTTTGTGCTACATGCAAATTCCAAATTCCTTTGGAAATCTGATTAAAATGGTGACAAAAACACACTTTCCCAGTATACAAGTTATAAAATCTTGATGTTTTAAAAATGTCAGTGTTATTCACCTGAGGGAATAACACTCACTCTTGTGGGAAGTCAATGTTTATATTTTATTGATGAAAGGACCATAGAGCTCTTTGTTAATAAATATGCTTTAAATTACATAAGCCTCATTACCATAGCAACAGAAATGATATTTGCTCTGGCTTATAAAACCAGATTATTTCAGCATCTGTGTGTTTGGTTGTCTGGCATGTAACTATTATTTCTTCAGGATTTTCTTGTGAGGTTTTCCACGCCAATGGATATACCCACAAGGCAGCAGATGTCTCTGAGCGTTCCTTCTCTTAGATGGTTTACTGACCAAATTGTTTGCCTTAAAGGGATATTTCACCCAAAATTCTGTCATTATTTATTCTCTCTCATGTCATTCCAAACCTAGTGACATTGAAATACTCTTAAAGCTTTTATCAGTATTTTGGATTAGTTTTTATTTTTATATATTCCATTTTAATTTTAAAGTAATTTTGTTGTTTTTGTCATGTATATTTTTTTTAATGTCTATATAGTTTACATTTATAATTTTTTTTTTACATCAAGTAAAACTAATTAATTTTTATTTCAGTTGATGTTTATTTTATTTCAAGTAGCAAATACTTTTTTATGGTTTTAGTTTAGTTGACTGTAATAACCCTCTCACGATGATCTTCTTCTCTTCAGCGCACCTTCCAACCAGTCCATTCCTCTTTGGGGTTGTCTCCAACTGTCAACAAAGATGACAAAGAACGGCATGAAAAGAACCTGGAGAAGAAGGAGAAGAGACGGATGGGTGGCGCAGAGCTGGATAGTGGGGGGCCCAAAGAAGGGAAAGGAGGAGGTAGAGGAGGGCAGGTTCCGTTCCATGTTAATTCGGCCTCCATTACTGGTATAAATGCCACTTTGCCGCATGAAGCCAGGAAGTACCCTTCGCAAGGCACTGTCAGGATGGCCCCCACCGTAGTGACCAATGTTGTTCGTCCCATCACCAGCACCCCTATCTCCATCGCCAGCAAGCCAGTTGATGGGGGTGTGGCTGTTGGGACCGTACCTCCAGACGGGAAGCCCAAGCTACTGATCGGTGCCGGCGGAGCAGGAGGAGGTGGGTACTTTCCCTCCTCTTCCCCCAAACCTAATGGGCAAGGAAGCTTAGTTACTGGCCTAGTCCTGGGAGGAGCCTTCCCAAACCAACCCACCGTTCAGCTCATCACCCCAACCCAACCTACTCCATGCAACGGAGCCCCTAATAGCAGTGCAGTACCCCTTCCCCTGCTTCATCACCAGTTCCTCCCAGCCGCCTCCATTACGCCCCCTAGTGGTGGGAAACCTGTAACACAGGTTCAGTACATCCTTCCAACTCTTCATGCAACTGCCAATCCCAACAGTCCCTCCTCCCAGCAGACCCAGCAGGCCTCCAACATCCTTACCTTGCCCAGTGCCGCACCCACCCAATTGACCCTGGCCAATGGTGTACATTTAGGGTCGGGGCAAGGAATAAGATATGCTTCCGTTCCAGCAGTGGGAGGAGTCAGCCCGGGAGGTGGAGGTGAGATTTAGGGCAGTTAAATTGTGGTGAAGTAATCAGACACGCGTTTAAAAAAATTTTCAGGCCTGTAAAAAATTATGGAAATTAATCAAATATTAAAATTCATGCATATTTTTTATAGTAAGTAATGTACATTAATTTTAAGTTAATCTTCTTTCAATTACTTGATCAGTGTAAACTACCATTCGGAAGTTTGGGGTCAGTAAGATTTTTTATTTTTTTTTCATTTATTTGATAAAAATGTTTAAATGATAATAAATTGATTAAAACAGTAACATTCAGAAATACTACATCATAAAATAAATGTGTTTTATTTGAATATATTGTAAAATGTAAATGATTTCTGTGATAAAATCACATTAGAAGTCATTGTAATATGCTGAGTTGGTGCTCAAAAACATGTCTTCTTATCATTGTTAAAAAAAGTAAGAACAGCATTTTTATTAAATAGGAGCCTTTTGTAACATTATACATTTATTTAACTTTGTTCAATTGAATGTGTCATTGCGGAATAAAAGTGTTATTATTATATTAGTATTAAAAGTAATGTTGACATCTAATCTGAAATTAATAAATTTTTTACTACTTAATTTTTCTAAAAAGAAAATTGCATTTTGTATAAAACAAGCCCAATATTTGATGTATGAGTGAATTGGTTCTTTTCAATGACTCGAACCACTTCACAAATGACTTATTCATGAAAAAGTCAGGGAAATTATTTTTAAAACATATGGGTACCCTGTAAATTATTCAATGTGTCCTCATCCAAGGGAATGTGAGCTTTATTGATGCTTTTCAGCATACTTAATAAAGTTTCCCAAGCTTACAAGAATCAGGATTATGCACACAGCGTTGGGAAAATTAGTTTATCAAGTCTTTTCTCGGTCTCTACTATATCAGTCCATTTCATCTCTTTGCACAGTTCAAGCACAGTCCCCAGTCTTCCAGAGCAAGATGTTGGTTCCCATGGCAACCGTCGGAACAGGATCTACACCTCCGCAGCCAATTTCCCTGGTGGGTCCACCCCTTCCTGTTCAAAATGGCACTCAACCAGGAAGTAAGGTAGATTGACTTGAGTTACTATCACGCTACATGAACAAGAAGCATTTATTGTCTTTGCAACAGATGTGTTGGATTCATGCCCTTCTTTGCTTTCCAGGTCATTCAGATTGCACCAATGCCTGTGGTCCAAACAAATGTTCATCCTGGAGGATCAGTGCATACCGGCAGTTCATTTCCTGTCTCTATGCCAACCGCGACTGTCATGGCCCCTGGGCCCACACCTCCACAGACGGTGCTCTTGACACCACCACCTACAAGGTACTTTACTGCCCACTGTCTCTTTAAAGCTGCAGCTAGACATCAGGGGCCAGTTGCATAAAAGGCTTAGACTAGTCTTACAAGTTAGTCATCAAAAATTTTTTCTTTAAGACTGGTCATATGTATTTAATTCTGTTACATTAAAACGTAGATTAGTCTATGTTGAAGTAAGAAAATAAGACTGAAAATAAGACACTGTCTTAACACAGAGGCTAAGTTTATGCGACTGGCCCCTGAGCATTGAAATATAACACAGTCTAACCCATTAGTGACTGAAGTAGGACATGTTACATCTTACATTTGATTTACCTATTACAATAGTCCCTTTACAGTTATTACTGCTATAATAAAAATACACTTTATATGTAAGTTTAAAATTCTACAAAAGACACATTTAATCTCCTAAAACACATTTTTTAAATGTATATTTTACTCAGAATTATTGTGTTCCTATTCGATTGTGCTTCTTCTGTTTAGCGTGCATGCTTGTTGCTCTCGCGTGCCTCGCCCACTCCTGACAGCAAAATGGATATGTTTGCATGACTTTCTAACATTTACAGATGAAAAATATACCTGTGACATGTCAGTTATGCACTGAGGAAAACACAGCGTCTCAAATGCATTAAACAGCACAGATATATTGGCTGTTTGTCATGGTGGATCGATTCGATCCATGATCGACATTAAGGTCTGCTTAAGAATAAGCGTGCACAAATTAGTGAGATTGTGTGAATTAAATTTGTCGTTAATGGAACCGCTCTGTGTCTAAAACTAAACTAAAACTGGTGTAAAAACAAACACTTTCATACCAATCTACCAATCGTTTATCCTCTGATTTTAGTAGTTAAGAGTTAGGAGTTTGTTTCTTTGACCGGAGTGTTAAGAAAGATCCAGGTACATGTCTGTCTTGGATAAGTCACTGTGACTCAAACCTAACTCTGCTGTGTTTTTGTTGCTCAGGATCACATATGTCCAGTCAACTCCTGGAGTTGCGGCTCCTTTGCCATTGGGTTCAACACCTGCAGTCTCTTCCACCCAGCAGGCCTTGTCACCTTCGGGTCCATCTTTTTTGCAATCACAGGTGGCTACCCTTGGCTTTACTGCAATTGCCCCAGCCGGTCAGGCCTTGGTTCAACCTATTGTTGCAAGTGAGTGTTATGACTGACAGTTCTTTAAACCACCAACACATTTAACACTGCATGACAAACATCATCAAATTTCTACCGTAGGTCAGCCACCCCTCCTGGCTCCATGTCCGCCCCCGAGCGGATTGTCACAACCAGCACAAACCTCGACGGCCACCCGTCAACTAGTGACTGCCATTTACCCCAGTGTCAGCTTAGCTGGAGGAGTTGTGTCAGTGACAGCTGTGCCACAAAGCACAGCAACATCCACATCAGTTCCAGCATCATCCTTAGCACCTCAAGCTAAGACCTTCTCAGCCACGGCTGCGCAACCACACACGCAGACAGATGCGCAGCTGCAGTCTCAGGTAAAGATGCACATGGAAAACGAGAGAGGACTAGAATCTAGGAAGGAGATGGAGACACAGAGAGACCTGGTGGTGTCAAAGGATGGACATCAGACGCCACCTAGTGGTTTGGAGGAATCGGTGCAACACACACATAAAGGTAAATGTAACCTCATAAACTGTACAATAGTAAATTTGGTTACACTTTATTTTAAGGTGTGTCCTTGTTACAGTGAAATTATACATTCAAGAAAAGAATAATAATTAATTACTTCTACTTACTATAAGGTCAGGGTTAGGAATAGGGTTTGGTTTAGGGTTAGTTGCAAAGAAAGTACATGTAACTAGTGTAACAAGAACTCTGTAAAGTGTTATATCTATCTCATATTTATATATATATATATATATATATATATATATATATATACAGACACACACACACACACACACACATGCAAATGCTTATTTAAAAAATCTCAAAATCTCAAAAATGTAAACATTGTATTTATATATTTAATATTACATATATAATGTTTACATTTTGGGGTCAGTGAGATTTTTTAAATAAGCATTTGCATTACAGAATGTGCTTGCAGTCCCTCAAAAGGACACACATGCAAATGCTTATTTAAAAAATCTCACTGACCCCAAAATGTAAACATTGTATTTATATATTTAATATTACATATATAATGTTTACATTTTGGGGTCAGTGAGATTTTTTAAATAAGCATTTGCATTACAGAATGTGCTTGCAGTCCCTCAAAAGTCACGTTCAAAATGTTCTATAGGTCAGCATTGTGAAGGGAAGGAGGATGGAAAGAAAGGGAGCAAAATGGAACGAGAGTCTGAGAGAGACGTAGGAGGGGGCCCGTCTCAAACAGAGAGAGTTGAGAGAGCAAGAGCTATGGAAGGGGAGACAGAGACTCAAGCTGAGACCATCAGCAAAGACGAACAGTGTCGAGAGGTAAGATGCTTTTCTAAGTTATGCAATCCAACTTTTCTAAATTCACTAAATTTGCTAAATGAAGTTAGGAGACTATTAATCACTTTTTATTTTTTCTTTCAGGCAAGACGCAGGGAAGCTTCTGTTTTGGACCCCCCACCACCCCCTTTGCAGACTGACCCTCCTTCTGCTAAAAAGACCAAGTTCCGCCCACCTCCACTGAAAAATACTACTGATGCTGGCGACAAGTGAGTGGCATGACCCAAGATCAGTCAAAAGCAGTTTTAGTATATCATTAACATACTATTATGATATGTATTATTCTTTTGAATTAGCTTTTATTTCTATATGTTCTGTTTTATTAGTTTTGTTTTCATTTTTTATAGCTTTAATGTATTTTTAGTTTTAGTAATTGTAGCGCTTCAACTTCAACTTGTTTTTCACTTAGGTGCCAAGGCAACATTTCTCACTTTCATTCTAATTTAAAATGTAAAAAGAAGACATTTTAATTTATAAACCGAAACTTTATTTCATTGTTTTATATATATATATATAGCATATATTATTTTAAAAAATGTTGTAATAAGCCAATGACATGAAGATTATAACTGTATCAACAGGTAGCCAAAAAACATAATATGTGCATGTATGCAGGTGCATTATATTCTTGGCCAGTGCATTGTAAGTGTGTGGTCAAGGTTATATACTTAATATCCTTGCTTTACTGGAAAATGAACACATCATAGTTTTCAAGGTGCTGGCAATAGACCTTTAAATATATTTGACATCAAACCAGATGTAATATTATTCCGTTAGCTAGCTACAGTTTACTAACTTCACTTCAAGATTCTCTTCAAACATTTGCTTGGCCATGATGACAGTATTTGACCTGGAAGGAAAAACTGACTGTAGTGCACATTTATGCCTATATATTGTAACATTTGATTGTAGAGCTCGTTTATCTTTCAGGCCTTATTCTTTTGCATTTACACCAAATTGGTCGTCATTGGTTAAACACATCCCTCCATTTCTTCTTGCATCTTTCTGCTCACATCATTTACATTATTTCTCTGCTGATATGCCAATTATTTATTTTAGTAACAACTATATTTGCTCTTTCACAGGGCGCTGTTTGGCTCCTCTTTTGAAGAGCGTCTTAAAGAGCTGCCGGAGTTCAAGCCTGAAGATGTGCAGCCCTCTCCCAATCTACAGAGTCTAGCAACTTCCCCTAGAGCCATACTGGGCAGCTACCGCAAGAAGAGGAGGAACTCTACAGGTGAGAGAAGATGATAAATATAATGAGAAATAGTAGTTTAATATACCACATTTCCTCATAAAATCTATATTTACATTCATGCGTTTAGCAGATGCTTTTATCCAAAGTGACTTACAAAAGCAATTTTTCAAAGAGCCAACAATATTTGTAATATACATGCCTGGTTTATTAGACAGCTAGACGAGGAAGCGAGTTAGAGAAGGAGGGTAATGCATCTAGATTCCTTTTTGCCTAACTTTTGCTTTTTGTGTGATTTTGATCCCTCCTTTCATTTTCTTTTCTTCCCTTCAATAGATCTAGACTCTGCAGACGACCCCAGTTCACCACGGAGGAAGAGTCGTCGCCTGTCCAGCTGCAGCTCAGAACCCAACACGCCCAAGAGTGCTGCCAAGTGTGAAGGGGACATCTTTACCTTCGACAGGGCTGGTGGGCTCATTTTTATGTCCAAACTATGTCTCATGAACCCATGCATTAAGGTATTTATTTATGTGTGTTTTCTCGTCTTCTGTGTTTATCAGTTGGAGAGACTGAGCATATTTTGGAGGAGTTGGACCGTGTGCCGCCTTCCTCTCTGCGTAGGATGTTGGACCAGCGGCGTGCGCTCGTCATGCAGCTCTTCCAGGAGCACGGCTTCTTCCCCTCAGGTAACATCAAGTTAACCATCTCTCAGTATAGCACAGCCAGGACTTTTGACTTGAATTCAATTTATACTTCTATTCAGCAAAAAAAAAAAAAAAGCGGTTCTTTTGAACTTTCTATTCATCAATGAATCCTGAAAAAATAGTATCATTGTTTCCACAAAAATATGAAGCAGTACAACTGTTTCCAAATTTGCATATAATAATGATTTCTGAATAAAAAAAATAAAATAAAAAAAAATCAGCATCAGCCATTGTTGTGAAGGCAGAATGTAGCATGCATATCTTTTTTTGTTACAGCGCAAGCCACAGCTGCCTTCCAAGCTCGCCACTCGGAAACATTTCCCAACAAGGTGTGCCTGCAGCTGAAGATCCGCGAGGTAAGGCAGAAGATCATGCAGACCGCCGGCAGTTCTGAAATCATGGGAGGTGTGTCTAGTGGAAGCTCTGACTCCGCCTCTACTCCCGGACCATCCAATCCAGTGGCCAGGGAGAATTCCGAAGCAGATGAGAGGGGCAGGGCCACGGAAGAGCCAAAGAAAGACACGGGCGATCCGCAGGAGTCGAGATGAAGAACGACGAGCAGAACGGAAGGATGAAAGACGAATGTAGGGATAAATTATAGAAATGTGTAAACCCATTTCCGCTGGCGATATACAGTTCAGCATTTATGTGGATTTTGCTTGGTTTCTAATCGAACCGATTTCGTTGCCATTGCGTTCACTTCGTTGATGTTCTGTTGTTATGCACAGTTACACACACACACATACATGCACATACACTATATGCAATTACATAATAATATCACTTTCACACATTAACGACTTGCACAAGGAACTATTACATGCAGCGCATGAGGTCGCACTCATTTGCCTATGCCACTCGTGTTAGGCCGTCATTGGTCCACCTCTGCATTAGGGCGTGGCTTCACTTTCTGTCGGAATTTTCGAGCCCTTCTATGCTGCACCACAGGCAGCACCAAACCAGCCTGTCTGCACACACTCAGTAAAGCCCCCTGCGTGGGGCCAGCACAGATTTTTATCAAAAGGACTGAATGTTTTTGAAGAGAAATTAGACTGTTTTGAGGTACCGTTAACTTTCGATCCAAAACGGGGACGGGATGGGTGGGGGTACAAATGCGCTTGCACTTTCATTTGTAGAGGCCGAGAGGAAAGCAATAGCCAGGGGAGGAGAAGGGTCTTCGTGCGAATGTTACGCCCCTGTGATGGGGTACATGCATCGGCTGTTACTGTTCTTCAACACGGGCTGTAAATTCACAGGTTTTTTTTTTAATCCCAGAAGCAACAAACTTAAGACTTGTAATCACGTAGACCAGCGGAGCAGAAAACAGAGGCTACGGCGACCGCCACAATCGCATAAACAACAACAACAACAACAACACAGCACACTCAAAAGCGAGAGAGGAAAGCATTGTCCTAACCTCGAAAAGAAGACTCAAACGAATAGCGACACTACCCCTCTTCGAATCAACGTGTAGTTATGCTTTGTCGTTTTGTTGTTGTGTCGTAACGGTGGAACTGACTGATATCTTTTTTTGTATTAGCTTGCGCCTCTCTTCTTCTTCTTCTTCCTCTAGTAATATTTTCAGCATGGACTAATCTAAGTGTTGGAGCGATTACGTCGAAAAGAAAAAAGACTCTGTTTTAGCCTCTTAGCTGAAGCTCCTCTTCTCTGGCCGCCGACTTAGGCTTTTGCCCGTACACTGTATATATATATAATTGTGATGGCTGGGGAGGGGGGCAGAGGGTGGGCACGAGGCTCTCTCTGTGTTCTTTTCCTTGTTTCTTTCTTGCTTTTTTATATTTCAATCAGGTGTTTGCACAATATATGGTCCAAGACCATGATTTAAATCAGGAAAGTATTTGTTTTTAGATATTTAAAAACTAACCAACAACTTTGTTCCATTGCGTTCGATTCCCCCTTTCCACATCCCGTAAGGAAAGCCCTTATTTTTTTCATCTCCTTAATAGACTTTTAACCCAAGTGTTGATGGAAAGCGCCACTTTAAGCGCTGGTCTGGAGTCAGAGTAAGCTTTGTAGTCTGCGACGACGATTTCGTTTCAGGATTACGCAAGGGAAAGCTGACCCGAGACCAGCGCTGGGGCGGCATTTCTCAGGATCTCCTCTTTCTTACTCTGCCTCTTCTTTCATTGGTGCAATAGAACGTGGGTGGGATTTTTTTTTTGAAGTAGACGAGTGACCTTTTAGTGCCATAGATTTTCACTGTACAAGCTGTAATAAAAATATATATATTGAAAGGAGAGTGGGGGAAAAGAAATCAATGAGTATCGAGAGAGAAATCCAAACTGAACAAACTAAAAAAAAAAATGTAACCTAGCACTTTCTTGCGTCTGGTTTTGCTGAAAGAGAAGGAGTGTCGAGTATAAAAATGCTACTCAGTCTTCACTTGAATGTGTGACAATATAAATGTATAAATATACCTATATATTTCTATATGTTCATGATATACAGATGTCTGTGTGTGTGCGCGAGCGTATGTGCTTATACATTTCACATGCTCCCTGACAAATCAAACTTGCTCCCAAGTAAAGGCTATTCATATTTTCCCTCCCGAAAATGCAGTGGCACTACATTAAAAGACTGTTAGCATATGCCTGAAAACCGGTGGCTACTGACGTGCGTGAGGAGAGATCGGCATATGTAACCATTCAACTCAATTGATTTATCTGGCCTTTCTTTGCCTTCCCCCGGCAACAGACAAATGCTTGCACACACACACACATACCTGCACATGTATGCGTGTACAACTTATGATTGTGTATCCAATAAACTGTCTTTACTTTGGAGAAGGGAGTTTTAGAATGAGGAAGGTGAGTGCAAACTCATCAACAGGCATGTTGACCATGTGCAATATTTCTAAACAAGAGATTATTGAAAAAATTAAAGACCTAACACAACGCTTGAGATTGTGTGTAGTTCTTTTCGCAGAGCGATGTGTGATATATAGATATGTTTTAGAAATTGTAAATGCTCATGTTGTCACTACGATGGGGTGTTTTTATTAGATGCACGCTGAATGCAGAATCTGGTTTTGTTTGTAAATGAAATCAGTAAAATTATATCTATACTTCATTTTTATACTTTTATTAGTATTTTATTGATATGCAGGGTTATTATTATAATCTATTTTAATATTTATTTATTATACCTCAAGTTTTATACGATTCTCAATATACTTGATAGGTAGATGTAGATCGATTTGTTTTTGAGTTATTTAACTAACTAACTAATTGTGGATGATAAAATTAGAGGCATATTGAAAAAGCATATTGATGGAAGGTGTCGTTATTATAATCTATTTTAATATTTATTTATTAACTTTGTCAGACCTCAAGTTTTATTATATGTTATGTGTAATAATGCTTTAATATTTTCTAACTATCTATATATCAGTCTGTCAAAAAAGTCTTCATAACCATATTTAATTAGTTCATTTTAATATTTAAAAGTAAATATTAATTTTTTTGTGATTTCTTTACTACTACTACTACTTATTATTATTATCATCATCATCATACAAAAATAACTAATTGTGCATGATAAAGTTAGTGACCCTCTCATCAGGTGTTTACACCTGCTCCTGTAGTTCTGAGTCCGGATCAATATAGCGCGCCCGAACTGCATTCCCCAGGAGGCTGCGCGTGTTCTCAGCGCGTGAGAGAGAGTGGGTGAACGCTGAGGGTCGCGACAAAAAGGTTTGTCATCTTTTCGTTTTTAACCCAATGCTTCACCCCGCACCTGGCCACGTCGACGAGGGAACCGCTGATAACTCGCCCCACAGCCTCGGCACACTTTCAGTCAGATATGAGCGGCAGCGGGCGGCCCAGGACGACCTCGTTCGCTGAGCCTCAGGGGGCGTCCGGAGCCGCTGCGGCATCCGCCGGATCCGCCGCTGTCGTGGGGAGCAGCGCAGGAAAGGCCGGGGTCTCACAGGCCTCGGCGGACAGTTCATCTGCTTGCGCAAATGTAAAACTTTCTAGTGAGTATATATAAGCGAAGTTATCTCAAGAGTTATGAGTGTTGAATGGACATATCGTGTATGTAATTAAACAACACACCCATGTTTTCTTGATGTTGACAGTTATGTCATATTAACGAAACTAGCCTAAGCTAACCTATTAAAATTGTCATAATTTTGAGTTAAATTATAAACCCAGAAACACTGACTGCCTCAAAACCAGTTGAGCTGCGCAGACACCCTTTTGGGACATTAACAGAAAATCAGTGATGCTAATACCATGGTACTTTTATATAACATGGTACTGATTTCTGTATTCTTGTGAATTAGTATTTATATGGTACTTAAAATAATACCATGGTGCTACCAGATTAAACAGTTGTCCCATACCCACAAATACCATGATATTATCATGGTAAGATGTCAAAAAACATGGTAGTACCTTAGTCAGCTGTGTAGTGTGAATGTGGATAATGTTGCCTAATGTAGGCAGCACACTAGGATTTGAAACAGTGTCAAAAACTTATAAGTATATCTGACAACAATGTTTCTTCAAGGCTCTGTTATTAAAGTGATTGTTTAAATGCTTTACCAGGCAACTTACTAGGTTGCAGGGCATGTTGAATAGGTGGTAACCACCTGCCCTGACACACCCACTGTCATAATGTCCTGTGTGAAGGAGAGGTCAGGCCCATATTTAGTGATATGCGTGCCATGTTTCCTTCACAAATACACTGTTTTTACACTCTTTGCTAAGTACACTTGTATGAGGCTTTATATTTGTACGTTTATGTTCAATATGCATATCAGTCTACAGCTTTTATACCACTAGAAATGTTGTGGTCACAGTGATGCTCACAAATAAATTACTTTTTTAGTCAAAATATATGTGTGTATTTTCTTAACATTATGTTTTGAACCAATACACTCTGTAGCTGCCAAGTAGGGAGGAATATATTTATTTTAGAGAACAGCATCGCTCTCTGAATGAATATAGATGCTGAAAGAACATTGTCACCCTCAAAAATTTCCTGGCGCATATTTGTTCGTTTCCACCCAGGGATCTAATCGGATCTAATGTCTCAAATGTGTTGTAGGAGACTGTGGGAAGGTGACCACAGTGGTTGCCACCCCAGGCCAGGGCCCGGATCGCCCGCAGGAGGTGTCCTACACTGATATCAAGGTTATCGGTAATGGCTCCTTTGGCGTGGTGTATCAGGCACGCCTCATTGACAGTCAGGAGTGGGTGGCCATCAAGAAGGTACTTCAGGATAAGCGATTTAAGGTATGACACACACAAACATATAAATACTTGTTCACTCGCTCTGTTCAATTACATATTTTTTTAAGAGTAATTCCTGTGTAGTGGATCATAACTGCCTAATTAGGTTACTTTGTACCAAATTAAAGATGTATTTTCCTGCAAAATATTATAGTGTTAGATAGGGGTGCAACGGTTCTCGGTAAAAAAATCGAACCGTACCGTTCTCCTCACACGGTTCGGCATGCACTAGGACCGCGGTTCAACTTAAATCTGACAATGCATCTGTAATATGGTTTGTTAGAGTTCGGCTAATGCATATTTCTGTTGATGGATACAAATTCTGGCTTCCCAATACAATACAACAAGAGCGATGAGAGATTAAAAAAAACAATACGTGGACAAACCAGTCACTCTTTAATCAATGCGAGTGCTTTATGCTGGAATAACTGCCAGCATAGGATAGCATAGGATATTTTTCCTATTTAAAACTTGACTCTTCTGTAGTTACTTCGTGTACTTAGACCGACAGAAAATGAAAAGTTGCGATTTTCTAGGACGATAAGGCTAGGAACTATACTCTGATTCCGGCGTAATAATCAAGGAACTTTGCTGCCGTACCATGGGTGCAGCAGGCGCAATGATATTACGCAGCGCATGAAAATGGTCCCTAGCTAGGTAACTTCCAACGTGACCGGCACTAAGTTTGTGTAGTTGCATATATATATTTCATATATTTCCATATCGGCCTAGAAATCGCAACTTTTCATTTTCCGTCGGTCTTAGTACATGATGTAACTACAGAAGAGTCAAGTTTTAAATAGGAAAAATATAAAAACTCTTTGGTCATTTTTGAGCGAGATGCTAACGGTCTAATCAGATTCAATGATCTATGCTAAGCTACAGCTAAAAGTGCTAGCGCCAGACCCGGAGATCGGCTGAATGGCTTCGAAAACGGTAAAACTCAACTGTTTAACTCTAGGGGAGTTGGAAAATGAGCCTATTTTCAAAAATAGTGGAGTGTTCCTTTAAACTAAAATGAAAATGAAAACAGAAAAATAAAAGCAAATTAAAAATGTTAATAAATACTAGTTACTAAATTAATGAATACTAGTTTATAAATAATACTAACTTAACACTCATTGTGATCCACTAGTTGTAGATGTAAAGATTACAACAATGTATTACTCAAACTATAAGTGTCCAATTCTTTGTATGTTACCTGACAGTCAACAGATGCTTTTTGTTCAGAGCGACCGGCTTTATACTAATTGGGAGCAGTCTTGGGTTAAGAGACCTTCTCAGTATTCTGATTTGAATATTTCACCAGTATGTTATATGACCAACACCACCATCTATTTCAGCCTTACACCGCTAACTGTTTCCACCATGACCCACATGTGCTGTCCACTACCAAAGCAAACACTGTGCCCTTGAATGAGGCACTTAAACCCAGGCTGCTGTAGGGGAATTGTACTGTCATGACGACTTGCTTGTAAATATTGTGACGTCTCTTATCCCTGAGAGATGCTAACAGTCTTTCTTCTATGTGTACGAAGAATCGAGAACTTCAGATCATGAGAAAATTGGACCACTGCAATATAGTGAGGCTGCGCTATTTCTTCTATTGCAGTGGAGAGAAGGTAAAAGAACTGTGACATTTGTTGCAAAGATCTATATTATGAAGTGAAATCAGTATGTACACTACTGTTCAAAGGTTTGGGGTCATTAATTATTATTATATTTTTTGTTAAATAATTTTTATTTTTATTTATTTTTCAGCAATTATGCTTTGAAATGATCAAAAGGGATAGTAAAGGACACTGACTGCCTCAAAACCAGTTGAGCTGCGCAGACACCCTTTTGGGAAATTAACAGAAAATCAGTGATGCTAATACCATGGTACTTTTATATAACATGGTACTGATTTCTGTATTCTTGTGAATTAGTATTTATATGGTACTTAAAATAATACCATGGTGCTACCAGATGAAACAGTTGTCCCATACCCACAAATACCATGATATTATCATGGTAAGATGTCAAAAAACATGGTAGTACCTTAGTCAGCTGTGTAGTGTGAATGTGGATAATGTTGCCTAATGTAGGCAGCACACTAGGATTTGAAACAGTGTCAAAAACTTATAAGTATAACTGACAACAATGTTTCTTCAAGGCTCTGTTATTAAAGTGATTGTTTAAATGCTTTACCAGGCAACTTACTAGGTTGCAGGGCATGTTGAATAGGTGGTAACCACCTGCCCTGACACACCCACTGTCATAATGTCCTGTGTGAAGGAGAGGTCAGGCCCATATTTAGTGATATGCGTGCCATGTTTCCTTCACAAATACACTGTTTTTACACTCTTTGCTAAGTACACTTGTATGAGGCTTTATATTTGTACGTTTATGTTCAATATGCATATCAGTCTACAGCTTTTATACCACTAGAAATGTTGTGGTCACAGTGATGCTCACAAATAAATTACTTTTTTAGTCAAAATATATGTGTGTATTTTCTTAACATTATGTTTTGAACCAATACACTCTGTAGCTGCCAAGTAGGGAGGAATATATTTATTTTAGAGAACAGCATCGCTCTCTGAATGAATATAGATGCTGAAAGAACATTGTCACCCTCAAAAATTTCCTGGCGCATATTTGTTCGTTTCCACCCA